TGAGGCTGCAGTCTGATTGGCTGCTGGGATAGCTGTGGAGACTCCTGCATGGAGTGTGAGTGGCATGTAGATATGATCAAAACACATCACATACATGTATGAACTTATCGAAGGATCAATAAAGATAATTAAAAACATTATGGCATAAGTGAGGCTTTCGTGCACTGCATTTCCGCTATTCCCATCCCCACCCCCGCCACTGTCTTTTTGGCCATCCCTATCTAATCAATGACCTCTTCTTCTATGTGCATATTTATCTAATTATGGGTTTAGGATTCCAGTGTTGTCCCTGGAAAACAAAACCAAACAAAGAAACAAGCAAGCAAAATAGGAGCAAAAAAAGGTGGTTATTCCTCCTACTCCAGCGTTGACGACCCGTGGTGGTTCATTCAGGGGTGAGGTCTTGTGGTGAGTTGATTGTCTCATATATGCATCCACATTGCTGAGAGTTCATGAGAGCTAAATCCTTTCCCTGTTCAGAAGAAACCAGTGTGAAGTGGCCCTTCTATTTCTCAGGATCACACGCTCTACTCCCTCTTCTGCTGTGTTCTCTGAGCCCTAGGTATAGGAGTTATAACTGTCTCCTTGGAGTTTGCTATCCTATGGTCATTATTCTCTGCATTTTGTCAGGCTGGGAGCTTCTCTGATAGTCTCCATCTGCTGCAAAAAAAGAAGCTTCTTTGAGAAGATGTGGGAGCTGCCCTTAATCATGGGTATAAGGGTGAGTAGGTAGTAGACCGTTGGGAACCATAGTACGTTAGAAATATGCTAGTAGTAGGCTTTTCTCCAGGGCTTATGGCACCTCAGTCCTGGACTCCTTCCAACTGCATGGACCTTAGGGTCAATTAGACAGCTGTTTGTGGTCCCTATAATACAAGTGCCACCACTGCATTATTGCGGGTATCTTGCTGGTCCTGTCACTGTTGCAGCCCATAAGCATTACAGTGGATAGGACAACTGATGCTGTTTTTCTCTGTTGGCAGCTTAAACAGTATCTACCAACGCTGTGAGAGCTCCCATGGAGGAGGCTTTTACGTCAGTTCCAGTTTGAATCCTCTAAACCTGTGACCAAAATGTGTGTGGTGTCTCCTGAAATAGGGTATTACCTTCATGTTCTGGTAGGTAGCCAAGAGTAATGGCAATAGGCTATATTGTTTTGGATGGCTCTTAGATACCACTGACCAACAACTTGAATGAACCTTGCATAGCACGGCATTTCTGTTAGTCTATGACTCCTCGGGAATGAACTGCCATGTTTGGGTAACTGCATTGAATCCGTCTCTCTCTCTCATCTATCTATCTATCTATCTATCTATCTATCTATCTATCTATCTATCTATCTATCTGTGATTCCAAACTTTGCAGCTCTGTTAGGCAATACTTAGGGAAACAGCTTGTGCCAGTTTATTTGGGATGAACAAGAGCTGTATGAAGCTTGGGAAAGGGATTTTCAGGGTGAATACATTTCACTGGCCGAGGCTAAGATGTTGTCAATGCTTTATTTACGTGGAGGGGAATTCCAGGTTCCAGGCTATTGGACTGTCTGAGAATTTGTGGAGGTAGGGGTTGTTTAGACTATGTGCACAGGGCAATGCAGGCACAGAGCAGGGAGGCGGTGATCAATACTCTCACCAGTCCATGTGCCCCACAACTTCTCTTTGTTTTATAAAGGAGGTGTCATCTCCGCCATCACCTTCTGTGTTGAGAAATATTTGGTATTGAACCAAAACCCTATGAGCAGTGATTTTTGCAGTATTTCTCATCTTCCATTTAGAAATTGGATGAGGCAGGGTGCAAACAGCAAAATAAAATACAGCATAATCAGAGGGCTAAAAGGGGGTAGGATCCAGGAAGAAAAGGGGTTATTGACCCAACTTAATTGCTTCATGGTCAAAAATCTCAAAAGCAAGTCTGTACAGAGTTTTTTGAGGGTATTAACATTGGTCTTAAACAACATTTTATTCATTTACATAGACAGAACATTCTTTTCCCAATAATCTATAAGTCCCCCCCACATTTAACAGTCATTTAGGTCTAGTGTTCTCCTGTTTGGGGGCATGACCCAGGCAAGAAACTTAATCTGCTGGAAGAAGAATTCAAGGCTTGTCAGCTGTGGATGCCATCGCCTGATTAAACTTGTCTCGAAAGCCTCTAGTCTGTGTCCTGACTATGGCAGCTCTTGTGACTCCAGCGGATCTGAGGGAGAAGGCAGGTCCAGTTCCTTATAGCAAAGGATGGAACATTTCTTGTCTCATCTCATCTTGCCTGTAGCAGCATGAACACACACACACACACACACACACACACACACACACAAACACACATACACACAAACACACACACATACACACAAACACACACATACACACACATACACACAAACACACATACACACACATCGTCTATCAACTACCTATCATCTATCTATCTATCTATCTATCTATCTATCTATCTATCTATCATCTATCTGTGTTATATGTACATTTAAAATTTTGTTTTTGTTGTTTTTCTGAGACAGGGTTTCTCTGTGTAGCTCTAGTTGTTCTGAAACTCTCTCTATAGACTAAGTTGGACTCAAACTCAGAGATCTGCATGTCTCTGCCTCCAGAGTGCTGGGAGTAAAGGGGTGGGCTACTATCACCAGGCTATATGTGCATTTTTAAGTAGTCTTTAAAAACATAGGATACCAGCATTTACAAATGTTATTATCTTAAACTCACCTATAATGCTGAGCCAAAAAATATTTTTTCAGTTGGTATACACAACATGTCTACTTAGTGTTCATTTGTAACTCGAAACAACAAAACATTCTAAACATTTCTAAAATTAAACATCTTTAAGCAATGGTAATTTATTATGAATCTTACACAGTCTATTGTAAACTGACTCAGCTACTTACCTTTCTACTAGTAAACTGGTACTTGAAACTTCACTATGCCAAATACAAGAAATTAATGGCACTGCCTAATTCCATAAGAAATATGTCATTGACTATGGATGTGTCCTTTGACAGCATTTTCACTAAAATATCAGCAATCAACTATGGTGTTTATTTTAAATAGCATTTTCTAAGGTAAATGTTTGTCTCTGTGCTAAGTAACCAGTAAGATCTACATGACTTCAGATGGTTCTGGAAAACTCTTTATTTCCTTAGAATGATCTGTGCTGTGGTTTGAATAGGTAATAAACCCCATCCTTTGATAACTGGAATGCTTTGTCTGAAAATGGGATGCTATTGTGAAAGGTTCTATAAACTCAGAAGGGGCTCCTGCAGTGGCAGTAGGCCTTTGGGGGCAGGTTCTTGTGGCTGTACTGTCCCTGGGTGCCTTTTGTCTTGCGGCTTCTAGGACTATCATCATTTGAACTAGATGGATTTACCATGCTTTTTCTCCATTAACTGAACCCACTGAAACTGTGAGCCAAAAACAGTTTCTGAAAGTTGTCTCAGTCAAGTATGAGCCAATACAGTTGGGTAAGGTGTTCCCTTTGATTTGAAAATAAAAGACAAATCAAGTCATTCTCTTGTTTTAATAGGGGAAAGGGGGAAATCAGTACAAGAACATTAGTCCTGCCTTTTTGAATAACAAATGCTTTCAAATAACATCACCTCTGTGAGTTATTAATTCAAAAGTGAGCTAGTCTGTGTTGCAAACAGGCCAAATATCTGCTTGGTCTAGAGAAATTCTGAAAGACAAGATCTTATCTTACAGGCCACTGGAAGAAGTTCTATCCCAGGAATCAATTTTATGAAGTTCTCACTACTTGTCAGACTACCCTGCAGAAAAGCCTGGAGCTAAAATGATGACTCTATAGGTGCAACCTACACTTTGACTAGCCTTCTTTTTCACAAATATTTCTTACCCACCATTTAAACCTGGCTTTCATGCCAGGAACCTAGTGGAGTCATTGTTTCTCTCTGTTCCTTTTCCTAGCGTTGTCACATTGAATGGACAGTGTCCATTAATTGTCTTAATGTCTTAATTGTCTCTGGAGCAGGTGCTCTTCTTGCTTTGCTTTCTGTGATCAAACATTCTGGCCCAGAGCAACTGGGGGAGCAAAGGATTCTTTGACTTACGTTTTCCATCTTGGTCCATCACTGAAGTCAGCCAAGACAGAAACTCAAGGCAGGGACATGAAAGCAGGGATCCAAGCAGAGACCATAACAAAACCCTGCTTCCTCGTTATAGCTTGCTCAGCTGTTTTTTATACAACCTCGGATCACCTGATCCAGGCATGACAGAGTCCGCAGTGGGCTAGGGCCCCCCACACCAATTATAAATCAAGAAAATGTCTCACAGATTATCTACAGACCAATCTGATCGAGACATTTTCTCAATTTAAGTTCACGATTCCCAGAGGAAGCTCTGGTTTGTGTCAAGTTGACAAAAAAACTTAAGAATGGATGGCCAGTCTTGCTGAATGGAATGCAAGGAGGCAGAGTCTGACCTGAACAACGCTAGAAAGAGGACTTCACAGTCACAAGCCTTGAAAAGTATAATCACTTTCCAGAGGTCCTCTCGCCATAAATATTATTTAGATACGTATGTCCAATTTTCATCTTGAAATGGGGGGTACTCCTTGGGAACTCAACCCTCCCGAAACAAAGACACAACCACTGAGCCTCAAAGGTTTCCCAGACTTTTGGGTTGGTCTCAGCTGTGGTCAGCAAAAGGATGTTTTGGAGCATGCCACAGCCCATTTCATTCTGCATTTGAGGAGACTCCAGAAATTCCTGCCAAAGGCAGAGACAGCAAGGAGGGCTGTCGTGGCCACAGGCTCACCCTCATCCTGGAGTAAGAGGCTCCAGGGCCTGGGCTTTGGGGCTCTCAAGCCGGGGCCACCAACAACTTTGGGCCAATCAGCGCGGTCCGATGGCCGGGGCGCCCCGCCGCTCCGGCCGCCCCTGCCGGGGCCGAGGAGGGGCCGGGCCGCGGGGAGCCGAGCAGGGAGGTGGGGATTCTGGGAGCAGAGCTCATTTCCTCCTCCCGGCCTCCCCTGGCCCGCACCCCCTCTCCACGTGCGGCGCCCGGGGCGCGCGGCCGAGCAGCGGAGGATGCTGGGCATGTACGTGCCAGACAGGTTCGCCCTGAAGCCGTCCCGCGTCCAGGACGGGATGGGGCTCTACACCGCCCGCCGCGTGCGCAAGGTGGGTGAGCGGCCCGCGTAGGCCGCGCCACGTCCCGGGGCCGGCGGGGAGCGCGGGCCTGGAGGGAGCGGGCGTCCCTGCTGTCCCCCGCGGCTGTGGCGAGAGGCTCCCCGAGCCCAACGCCCGGCGCCCCTGCCTTCCAAGCAGTCGGTGTGATCTGACCTCTCACTTCTCCTCCCCATGGGCCCGGGCAGCCTGGAGCTCAGTGCAGGCCCGGGAGCCTCAGAAAGGAGGCCTTTCCCCACTGCTGCCCTGGGAGGATGTCTGAATCTTCGGCCTATTTTCTTTGCGTTTTTGAATTTTATTCTGGCGTTGGATCTTCCAGAACCGCACAGGCGTGTGATCAGAGCAAGCGCAGGTTGCCCCTCCTGTGTGATGACGCACTTCGGATGTTGGCTGTTCCTTGCAGAGATGTAAGAAGGCAGAGCTTTCAAAATCTTAAGTTATAACCTTAGACCATGGTGCTAGAGCTAGGGTGGGTTAGCAGATGTGAAACGAACCAGGGGCAAAAGAACCCAGAGTAAGCAGAGCCAGGGTTCACTGAGCAGGGCCTGTGCTTGGTACTTAGTCCATTACATCATTTGACTTTTCCGGCTCAGTGCTCTCTGGAGCCAACTTTTAGTTCTCATTTAAGAGGTGAGCAGAGGAATTCTGCAGTTGGACAACCTGCCGAGTTAGTGAATTAAGCTTCAAGCCCATAGTTTCTGAATGGAAAGTGTATGTTGTTTCTAGAACATTCTGTTATGGAGCAACATGCTTTATAAACATTGCCCCCATACCTTCCCAGCCTCTCCTCCTAGCTGTCCCAGCTTTGCTTTGTTAGCGGATACTTAGAAAAGCACAGGTTCAGAGGATAGCTCTCTAGAACCCATACAAAGATACAAAGAGCAAAGACTAATGGACAGTGCTGGGTTCACAACATGATCTACCAGAAGTTCCATAGCCCAAATGGAACCTACCCCCCATATTAACATATTTTAATGGCTATATGGGAGAGTGTTCAAATGTAAACAAACGAAGCAAAGATATTACTTAATTGAGCGATGAGTTGGATAGATGTTGCCAAATGACGGATGGTCAAAATCAGTAGTCTTTCAAAGCCAAATGCAACCATCACGAATGACTCCCCTGTACCATTGACATTATGCTTTTGTGTCAGTCTTACAGACTGTTCTTGAAAGTCTTGAACTGTCCAACGGACAGTTCTTGAAGGTTTCTCATATAACGATAATTAAGAACCACTTTGTGTTGATGAACAGTAAGACACCAAATAGTTGTTTAAAAGTAACAATTATCACACAAGCCTGTTTTGAATTACTCAGATCGTTTTTAGTAGTTGGGCAGTGTATTTTCTTTTGAGGTTTCCATGTACTTGTGTTGGGATGAAGTATCTTGAGTCATACTGTTGTAGTGTTGGTAGGTACTCATCTTCTCTTGCTACTGTAACTTTAACAGAAAACACAAGATTTCACCCAGGTTGCACCTAGCATGCTGACCACAGAACACGGCTTACAGTAGCCCAGACTCTTTTGATATCCAGTTTTTGATACTCAATCGCAAGGTCGTGGACAGCTTCACCGATGCCTTTAAGTCAGCTTTTCCCTCCCGGGAACAGCAGGGACAAAGCTGAAGCCACACCGCAGATGTTAGCTGCCTTGTAAGATCAAGCTGCATGTTCTTGCATGACTTGCCTATTTCACCATGTCTCACCCGTGTACGTCTTTCCTGACTGTATTTCAAGAAGTCTGAGAAGATAACAGTTGTGATTGGAGCTATGTTAAGGACCTCTCTTAAAGGTCCTTCTTCTAGACAGATTTCAGGATCTTCCACTTTAGAGCCTGTGCTGACAACACCAGATGTTACGTCCAGATGTTACATCCTAGCAGGTGTGGTTGTATAATCCTTCTGTTTCACAAAGTGATTAAAATTCAAGTTATCCGTTGATTTAAAAGTTCAGGGGTTAGAATCCAGAATCGGCATGGGGAATCTTCCAAGAAAGGCCGTACTTGTACATTCCACAGGCTGATTTCGGCTTCCTTTTCCAAAGGGACCACGTATTTCTCTAGACTCCCCCATTGTGAGGCAGTTCCTTCAGTGGAGCCCTGCAACTAAATCTAGATAATTTGGGATGTTTTGTAATTACTAATTGGAGTGACAGTTTCATCTTGTCCTGGTCCTGTAAAAAGACACACCTCTTGCAAATGTACTGATTAGTGTTTTATGCATTAAAGCCTGGGTGTGTGCCTTTAAAAAGGGGAAGAAAAAGTGTGTTTTGGAGCAAGAGCAGGAAAGAGTAGGTTCTAATAGGTTCCAAATAATGACACTTTAAAGAACGTCATCAGTTCTGGTAGGCACATTACCATGGTACTGGTGGGCACACTGAGGCCCCAAAGTGTATAGCTGTCTCTTCAGTTCCCATTCCCTCCCCACTATCAACTGTCAACCCCCTGTCTTTCAGACCAAGGCAGACATTTATTTCTCATGGAAAAAAATTAATGAAAATAAGTTTAATGTCCAGTTTGTAAAGATAGAATAAAAATTTAAAAAGTAAAGTTGAAAGGTGGTTTAGAGGAAAAATATATGACCAAAATAAAACAAACCAACCAATCAACCAAAGAACAAACAAAAAACAAAAGAAAAAAGCAAGCAGAGGAATGATTACCACATTAATAGTAGACTACAGTTTGTGTGAAGATGTGTTTTGCTAATTTTTTAGAAGGTTGACTGCTTTAACACCAGTAGATTTTTATCCTAGGGCTGAAATTACCAGTAGATGTTTATTTCATTTTCTGGTGAATGATGGTGACTCACTAATCTGAAAACCGAGTCACTGCAGTGACACTGTCTCTCTGTTTATGCAGTCAGTCACCATGGGGACCATTGAGGCCTTATGTTTTCTGCTGTCTTACAGATTTTTTTAATTTAATTTAATTTTTTTTATTATTAGTTACATTTTATTAACTCTGTATCCCAGTTGTATCCCACTCCCTTATTTCCTCCCAATCCCACCCTCCCTCCTTCAGCTTCTCCCTGCCCCTTTCCAAGTCTACTGATTGGGGAGGACCTCCTCCCCTTTCATCTGACCCTGTTTTATCAGGTATCTTCAGGAATGGCTGCAAAGTCCTCCTCTGTGGCATAGCAGGACTGCTCCTCCCTTGGGGGGTGGGAAGGTCAAAGGGCCTGCCATTGAGTTCCTGTCAGAAATAGTCTCTGTTTCCCTTACTATGGGAAACCAATTGGATACTGAGCTACCACAGGCTACATCTGAGCAGAGGTTCTAGTTATATCCATACATGGTCCTGGGTGGAGTGTCAGTCTCAGAAAAGACCCTGTGCCCAGATATATTTGATCCTTGTGGAGCTCCTATCCTTTCCACATCATACTAACTCCTTCTTTCATATGATTCCCTGCACTCTGCCGAAGGTTTGGTTATGAGTCTTAGTATCTGCTTTGCAACACTGCTAGGTAGAGTCTTTCAGATGCCTTCTGTGGTAGACTCCTGTCATATGTCCAATGCACATCCCATTTGTCTTTCTAAGTGAGGATTGATCATCTTACCCCATGTCCGCTTTCTTGTCTTACAGATTTTTTAAGGGCACATCGTAGAGTCACTTAAACCCAGTGTTTTCTCTGAAACTTTGTATTTTGCTTTTGTGATGTTATTAGTTACCAGTAATTAAATAATTTGTTTATAATTTCATATAGTCTAAGTCATGAAACATTTATGCAGTTGTTGCAGTTGTCAGGAACTGTCCCTGCTGCTGGAGACAGAGGGTGAATGAGAGAGATAGCAGTGATGGATGCTTTTCTCAGTCCTTACTTAAGCCATGCGGCAAAACCCTGCTTCACAGGTGACAGAATGCGTGCTAGGGAGAGGTCTAGCCACACTAAAGTAGCTCAGATCATTCCACATATGAGTTGGGCATCCCTAATGTAAAATTTGAAATGCTTCAAAATCTGAAACTTTTTGTGTGTTTATATGATACCAGAAATGGAACATACTACATGTAGCTGGGCATAATAATGATTGTATGAAATTACCTTCAGACAATGTGTAAACTGCATATGAATCACATGAATTATTTATTTAGATGGGTTTCATCCATACATATTTATATATTTATTTGTCTGTGCAGTCATTTACATTTCTCAGCAGTAGCCTGTGGGAAATTCTTCTATATTGGATATTCTTCTATATTGGCTCTTCTTCTGATAACTATTTTAGCAGTGGCCTTTTTTACTAGACCATGCTAACTGTGTAAAGTAATGGGTTTGCTTGTGGTATTTTCATGCCTGGATGTCATATACTTTGACTAAATTCTTTGTACTCTCTTGACCCGTGTCTTTCCCTACTGATTTTCTTTTTCCTAAATAAACATGCTTCTACTTTGATGTCTTAGTATTTTCTTTTTAAATCTAGACTTGGTATATGAACGAAAATGTGATACTCATCTTTCTGGCCTTGGTTTGTTTCATGCAGCATGATGGTCTCCAATTCCATTGACTTGCCCACAGCTTGCAGAATTTAAATATTCATGGCTGAATGAAACTCCACTGTGTTTATGCATATTTGTATAATTAATTAGTTAATTAATTTATTGTCACATTTTCATCATCTGTGCATCTGTTTACGGACAACCAGGCTGATGCCATAACCTGGCTACTGTGAACAGCTCTTTTATGGTGATTGAACGCATTGCATAGTACCAGTGTGCCATATTTGTTTACGTCATAGTTCACCCAGTCATTCAAACACTTTAATCATACAAGGGTCTATATCAGACACTTGGCTAGAGCAGTGAAGACAATGGATGTGTTGACTCTTGTGAAGCTTCATTATGTAAGTTAACCCCTACACCATACTAGACCATGATAAGTGCTATAGAAAAACAGTGGAATGAGGGCTGGGTATGGTTGGCTGGTACATAAATGAGGAATGTTGTAAATGAGCTAGCCTAGCTAATTCTTGTTAAAGTGAGATTTCACCAATGGTTTGAAGG